CTCCAGGCATGACGAAGCAATATCGTCCTCTTTTGGAAGGCCAAACAAAGTAGTTTCGCTTTCACAATGAATCACAAAGCACCTTCACGACATGGCGGCGGCGGCAACAATACTACAGCGAGAATTATAGAATAATACAGCGAGGCCGGCGGATTCGGCGAAGGAGCGGGCGGCGGGCTTGCGGCTTGCATCCAGTGTGGACATAATTAATTATGCAACCACATGTGACGATCCGGCGATCCACAGCGCGAAGTTGATGTATTTCCTCAGCGACCAGCACGGATCAGCTCCAGGCATATCATCCACTTTTGGAAGACCAAACAAGGTAGTTTCGCTTTCACAACGTAACACAGCGTCTTCACGACATGGCGGCGGCAACAACAATACTACAGCGAGAATAAAAGTTACGCCTTCTTTCTTTGCTGACCCTAGTTACCTGTGGTTGGCCTGGCCGTGCGTCACTCAGAAAACAACAGGCCAATCAGAAGAGAGGCTCATGAATATTAATTAGACAGGCCCAAATCGACCTGTTCTCAGCAGAGCTCCTGAGAGAGGAGCTGTAAAAATATATTGAGATGGTTTTTGGTACTTATACCACAAATATATATTCCTAAGGACATCAAAACCTAAAATAAAACTCCAGAAAGGTGTAAAATATGTGACCTTTAAGGCCATGAAAACTCTTAAATGGTACAAAAAGTCTAAATTATAAGAGGTCTTTGGGGATGGAAACGATATGGATTAATATGATGATTAATCTTCAAAAGGCTACGATTTGACTGAATAAACTTGAGCGCTGCACATCAGCTTTGTGTACTGCGGTTACTGGGGAAACCATTATATTTCTGCAGTTCCGAAAGTGAAACCTGCTGGCAGAGAACGCATTTGCTTTTTCAACCATCTGCTATTTTTGCTACATATTTGTAAATGTGAACCAGTGGATCGACAAAAAGCTAATGCATTATAAAAATCTAAACAATTAAGACACTAAGATATATTTATATGTTTTTTAATATAATAATTAATTGATAATACTTGTTTAAATTAATAAATTAATTGACTCATCCCTTTTCTTAAAAATTGTTTAAAGGCTGAAATGTGAAGCGCAGATCTTAAAAAGGTCTTTAAAGGTCTTAAATTTGAAAAAAAATCCTGCAGATACCAGGTAAT